CACAGGTCTCTCTCGAAAGCGGCAGCCCTCCCACCGGAGGAACCGGCCTCAGTTCCCGAAAGCAGAGGGCGGGCGCGGCGTCCGAGCGGGCCCTGCAGTGCGTGGCGCGGGCACGGCGTCGGGGCAGAAACAAAACCGCTTTTGCTCTCGAGCCGCCAGCAAGCCGAGGCGCAGCCAAGCAGCCGGCTGCCCAGGCGCGTGCCCCGACAGCCCCCGACAGCCCCCAGCGCCCTCTGCCCTTCCCGGGAAAACGGAGAATGCAGAACCTGCCGGGAGCCCACGGTGAGAGCCCACGGAGAGAGCGAGCCGCCGCCCGGGCCTCCCTGGACGGGCAGGTCTGGAGCGAGCAGGCGCCAGCACCGAGCCCCCGCCTCCCCCAGCTCCCCCCACGGCCACCCAGGCCGGCTCTGGGGGGGGGGGGCTTTAGGCTTTGAACAAGCAGCAGGTCTCATTTCCAATCAGCCCGACGCACCCCGAGCACCACCCTCCGTCATCCCGTCCCCGGACGCCTCCGTCCGCAGGCAGCACCCGGAGCAGGCGCTGCCTGACCGGAGGGAGGGAGGGAGGCCGCTCACCTGCTCTGGCCCCGCTGGTGGGAAGGACGCCCGCGCTGAGCGAGCTCCGGGGTCCGCAGGCAGCTGCTCGCCGCCGCTCTCGTTAGGGAGTGTCGCTGCGGAGCGCCGGCGGCAGCTGCTGCCCGCGGCGCGGCCCCCAGGGGTCGGCTGGGAGGCAGCTAGTCCATTAGTCCTATTAGGGCGTTTGTCTCGGAAACAGGCTGAATTATTCAGGAGGCCTCAGCCCCTGGATGCCGCCCGCCCGCCGGGAAGTGCAGCTCGGTGCCGCCGGCAGGCCGACTCGGTGCTGGGGCCGGCGGGGGGCACCGGCCGGGGTCCTGCCATTGCCCCGGGCCACCCCTGCCTCCCCTGCCCCCGATGGCCAGGGACAGGGCCCTGGGGACCCGGGTGGGAAGGACCCGGGTGCACAGCCCCGTCCCCCTCTTGTCCCTGGCTGTGTCGCAGGAGGGGAGCCAGGTCCCTGCGGCATGTGACCCCGCCCTTATTCGAGGGGCTGAGGTCTGAGACCTCCCATCAGCACCCGTGGACGGACGCCCCTCCGCCCTTCCACTGGGGTGCGCCCAGATTGGCACCCAGGATCCGGAAATGGCCGGAAGGTTCGGGAAGCCTGCTGTTGGATACCATCAGCCTCTCCCTGCGACAGGGGCACAGGGACCCTTCCTCACTGCGGGTGGCCTGCCCCGGTGTCTGGGAAATGCTTCTAGGCAGAGCGGGCGGGGGGAGCTATGCCGAGCCCCTGTCCCAGGGTCATGACCCCAGGTGCTGTGGACAGCGGCTCAGCGCTCGGACAGCTCCAAGCCTGGGACTAAGCAGGGGGCACGGTCCTCTCGTGGCAAAGCCACGTGCAGTCCCAGCACAGTGACAGCCACAGGCTGTGCTGTGAGCCTGAACCGATGGTCCGAGCCTGTGGCCCACGGGGCTGAGCGACACGGGCTGCGGGAGGCGCAGCGAGGGAACAAAGCGGACCAGGTGCCTGTCACCGAGTCGGTGCGGAACCGGGAGAGCGCGGTGAACATCCTGACGGCGCCTTCCTCTGCTCGTGGCATCGGCTGTAAAGTAAAGGCTCGGCCGGCAGGCCGTGGGGCTCTCACTCGCCCTCCATCAGAAAGGACAGTGTCCCACCAGCCCCAGCTTCTTCTCTTGTCCGTCTTTCTCCATCCTCCCCCCTCCCCCTCAGGCTCACCGAGCCTGGCTGAGCTGGCACAGCACAGGGGGCCAAAGAGTCTGTGTGACATCACTTCCGGGGAACAGGAAGAGGCTGAGCTGCTTCCCCTGACAGACCCGCCAACAGCATGGCGGCCACCAGCCTGCAGGTGGGGGGCGTGGGGGGGGCGTGGGGAGAGGGATCGGGGCCCCAGGCCCAGGCCGGAGGAGAAAGCTCATGGACGGTGAGAGCATGGCCTAGAGGCCATGGCGGTGACTAGCAGGTTACCCCCTGGGGAGGCCTCAGTGACGGACGTGAGATGGTTTCTAAAGGCCTGAGACCTCATGTGTCCCCCTGGGCAGGAGGCCGCCGGGGCCTCACTGTGATTGGCTGTCACTGGCCGACATGCTTCGAAGGAGGACAGTCTCCTTCCCCCGTCCACTGCTGCCCTCTGTCTTCGCTGACCAGCCCATGGGTGAGCTCCAGACACCCTGTTCCTATGCCCCGTCCCCTCCCTCCCTCCCTCTTCCCGGCTCCTGCGGTTCAGCCCTCCCCCTCTCCTGGTCGCCCACAGCCAGCCTCTCTGCCCCCGTCTTATTCCCTGCAGCGGAGCCGGATCCCTGCCCGGCTCAGACACCGCCATGGCCGCAGCCAGCTCCTCCCTCCCAGCCCCCATCGACCTCAGTCCCGCCGTCCCCTCCCCTATGGCCGGTCGGGGAAGCCACCGCTTCCTGTTCTCTGCACCTCTCCCGTCCGGGCTCAGGCTGTCGGTTCTGTGCTGAGTCCTGTCCTGACCTCAAGGCCCAGCTCAGCGCCCGTGCCGCCTTCTCGGCGAAGCCTCCCTGCTCTCACTCGCCCTCCTTCAGAGAGGACAGCGGGCGGCGGCTGCAGCCCCGTCCTCCTCGGAACCGGCTGCTCCGAGCCTTCTCCCAGGCACGCTGCACCTTGGGCACCACGGGCGCATGTGGGCTCGGGGAGCTGCATCCCTGCTGCCGACCTCTGTCCGCCGTGTCCCTGGCTCCCCCACGGGTGACGGTGGAGTGTCTTTCCTGCCCTCGGACATTGGGCTGGGGCCAAAAGAATGTGCAGAAGTGACAGTGCGTGGGCTCTAACCTCGGCCTTCAGAGACCTTACAGGTTTCTGCCCCCCCCCCCCCACCACATTTCTGCCATGAGAAGAACGGGCCTGGGACAGGCCTGACGAGCCAAGACGGGAGGATGAGCACTTGGACCCGACCTGCAGCTCAGTGCCCAGTCCCGCCTGGATGGACTGGCTCTCTTCAGCCCCCGACACACAAGCAAGGAATGAATGGCTCTTCTACAGCGACTAGAGGCCCTGAGCATGAAAATTCATGCACTGGAGGGGGGTCCCTCAGCCCAGCCTGCCCCCTCACAGTCCGGGAGCCCTCAGGGGTGGGAGGCGACCTGGTGGTCAGGGGAAGGTGACTCCCCATCACACCTCTGCTGCTGCCACTGCTGGCAGCGCAAGTCTCGGCTGGCCCTGGTTGCCTGAGCCTCAGGAGGCCTGGGGGCTTGGGGACTGAGAGGACTGAGAGACTCTGGAGAAAGGTGGCCTGGTGGGGCTGAGGGGACTGGGTGTGGTTGTGAGTGCCACCATCTTTGAGAGTGGGACAGTCAATTAGCATATTCTCTCCTTATTGGCTATGGATGCCACCATCTTTGAGGGTGGGACAGTGATTTAGCATATTCCCTCCTTATTGGCTGTGGGCACTGCCATCTTTGAGGGCAGGGCAGGACAGCAATTAGCATATTCCCTCCTTATTGGCTTGGGTGCCACCATCTTTGCAACAGTGTGAGGGTCAATAAGCATATTCCCTCTTCATCAGACAGGGTGAGTGTGGGGCTGTTTGTTAGGCAGCATTCTGTGGAACAGCTGACAGATACAGGGTTGAGGGCACTGTTCCCGGAGTGGCTCCACGGCGCTGACCGACTCAAACCCCTCGGAGCCACGTCAGTGCCCGGTGACGAGGACGCACACGGGGCCTTTCCCGCCTGCCGTCCTGTGCTCCTTTCCTCCTGGGAGGAGGCAGCCGATGGCGGAGGTGCAAGGCCCGTGCACGTCAGGACTGGTCCTGCCGGACGAGCGCCACCCGTTTGCTCTGATGGGCTGGGCCGCTGCACACCGACACCCGTGCACATTTCATCCAAGCGCCTTTTCAAGCCCAGTTCACACCCAACACGTTCAGGTAAAATCATGGCAGCGACACGGAGTGGAACCGAGGCAGGCTCCCTCTCAGAGCTCTCTGCCAGGAGGGGCCGCCCGGAGGCCCCGGAGCAGCGGCACCAGCAGCCGGAGACCCAGGCCCAGGGCCACGGTGAGCGGTGCCGGAGGAAAGAGCCATACAGGGCCCTGAGCCCTCCGCCCGAAGCTCCTGGTGCATCGCAGGACCCCCGGTCGCGTCACAGGGGGCGTGCTGACACCGGGGAGCTGGCTCTGGACCCAGAGGCGCCCCAGGCCCGAATGCCACACACCAGGGCCCTGCCCCCGAGTCTCATGCAGTCCCCACACCATCCCAGGGCTGGGGCTGACGTTTTCCCGAAAGGAGAAACGTGACGAAGTACCCAGAGTTACCGGCTTTCCAGGAAGCGCCGCCCTCTGGGCACCTCCCCCTGGACAGGCTGGGCAGCGGCTGCCCCAGAGGAGGCGGGACAGCCCAGCTCACCTGCCCGTCCCCTCCGCACCCCGTCCCACGTCCCTGGGGACAGAGCCTCTCGCCCTGTGAACACCGGGGCGCTGATTCACCGACAAGGGACAAGGAAACACATCAGAACGACGCCAGCCAGTCTGCTCCCCCACCCAGGCCACTTGGACCCGGAGCCAGAGCCGCACGCCCCGAGCGGGAGCTGGCCTTTGATCACCGCGAGGCTGCGAATGGGCTCACATCCAAGGGGACAGAGCGAAGGGGCTGAGAACCCCGAAACTGTGACCCAGGACGGCCAGGATAGCGCCTCCCTCCCCCGCGCCCCGAAGGAGGTGTAGGGGCGCCCGCCAGCTGGGCAGGTATCACAGGCCCCTCTGCCCAAACCAGCCGGTCCCACATCAGCCCGCGACCCCACCTCGCACGTTCGCCAGGACAGAGCAGCTGGCACGGGCGGGCGCGAGGGAGCAGGCCGGGCCTCCTTGAGGAATTTCTATTCACAGAAACCACCAGTGCGCCCTGCTGACTGATTGACAGATGCATTGACCTGGAAGGACTGGAGCGCTCGGCCCTCCCCCGCACCCGGCCCTGGCGCCGGCTTAGGGACACGAGGGCGCGTTACCTGTAGAACTGGAGCTGTCTTTTGGGGCTCCCATACCGAGTACTGCGGCAGCATGGGGGAGAGAAGGAGGGAGAGAAGAGAGTCCACAATTGGCATTAACCGCACGGAGGTGCCAGCCCGGAGCCGTGGCGACACACAACCCCGGCCCCACCCCGCGCCGCGCCTCCCGGGCTCAGAGGATGCGAGCCCGGCCTGGTCCCAAGCACTCGGCAGCAGCGCCACCCAGTGGCTCCCAGGGGCAGAGGCCCTGAGCCAGCCTCACTCACACACAGAGAGAAGGGGGAACAAGACAGGAGGTCACCCCCCCCCCCCCCCCCCCCGTCCCCCCTGGGAAAGGCCTGTCTGGGTTTTAAGGAAACACGCTTTCGAACAACAAGGGAAAAACCCTCCAACTGTCACCCTGCTGTCACCCCACTCCCCGTGGGTTCTTAGGGTCCTGATGAGGGAGGGACAGCCCAGGGACACTGGCTGTGGCCCAGGCCCTGAGAATTACCGGGAGGTCCCATGGCCCCACGACTGAGGGGCTCCAGGACTGAGGGGCCCCAGGACTGAGGGCCCCAGGGACTCCATCTGGGCCCGGCGTTCATGCAGTGATTCAGCCTGGGTTCCAGGCTCCACCCAATGCGCCCCAACCACACCCCCGTGATCCCCCTGGGATTTACCCAGAGACCCGAGCTGAGTTTGGAAGAGGCTTCTCCAGGTGCCTGGGGAGACCTGCCCCCCCCCCCCCATCTGGGCGGCGCCCAGGGCATGGGGGGCGGGAGGGACCACGCTGCCGCTGCCCCTCGCAGCCCAGGGGCCTCACGTGGTCCCTCCCTGGGCCAAGGGGAGGACAGTGGCCTCGGGGACTCCTCCTGAGGCAGGGCTGACCGGGGCGGGCTGGGGGCGGGAGTCACCTGTAGATCATGCCGGGGGAGCCGGTCTGCCGCAGGGAGAGCCGAGCCGGGGAGCCCGTGGTGGATTCTGGGTACATGGAGCAGGCCGCTGGTCCCGCCTGCGCCCGTCACGCCGGAAGACTCTGGGGGGGAAGCAGAGGAGGGAGTGCGTTCAGGAAGGCCGGCGGGGCGTGGCCTGGAGGCTCTTCAAGGGCAAAGGTCATCGCCCGCCCTTCATCAGACACACAGGCAGGCAGGCAGGCAGGCAGGCAGGCCCACGCGGACGCGGACGAGGCTGATGACCGGCCCAAGGACCGCCCTATCCCTCCCCTCTCCCCCCAAGTGCTCCTGGGGGTCCCTCGCCATTGCCAAGCCTCTGGGAGCCCATTTCTGTTGCCCCAACTGCAGAAACAGAGGCGCCGGGGCCTCTGTGGACTCGGATCTCTGGACCGTCTCCCCTAGCCCGGGGCCATCCTGGCTGGCCCCCCACCCCGACTCCAGCCACTGCAGGCCTCTGGTGGGACTGCTCAGGAAGCAGCTTGTGTCCGGCCAGCGTGGCTCCGGGGCTGAGCATCGATCTATGGACCAGGAGGTCACGGTTGGATTCCCGGTCAGGGCACAGGCCCAGGCTGCAGGCTCCATCCCCAGTGGGGGGCGTGCAGGAGGCAGCCGGTCCATGATTCTCTCTCATCATGGATGTTTCTCTCTATCCCTCTCTGACATCAATGAAAAAATATTTTTTTAAAAAGAAGAAGAAAAAAGGAAGCAGCTTGTCAGAGGCCTCGCCTCCCGGCTCCGGCACTCACTCCCTCGTCAGCCCCACCCTGGGTGAGGGCGGCCCAGCGGCTGGCTTCTACCACAGACGGGCACAGGCGGGCACTGGCGTCCCTGATGAGGGCGGGTGGCGCCTCCTGTCCCGCTGTGGCAGCTCTGATGGAGCTCACGGCCATGCCGGAGAGGCCCACACGGCAGGGGACTGAGGGTGACCTCTGGCTCCCAGACGGAACCCTCAAACCACCGTGCATTTTGGGGGCCGGGGGGGGGGGCTTCCCCAATGGAGCCTTTGAACACGAGCCCGGCCCGACCAGCGCCTGATGCACCTGCGAGGCCTGAAGCCGGGACCAGCGGCCGCGCCCACCTCTGCCCACAGCCGCCCAGAGCCAAGTCTGCAGGAGCATCTGCGGCAGCAGCAGGTCCTGCTGAGCTCCTGTGGCGCCCGCCTGCCCCTCCGTGGCCGCTCCCAGCCAGCAAGGACCCGCCCACCCCCTCAGGGGCATCCAGAGCCCCCTCTCGCGGGATCCCCACCAGCTCCCCCCACCGTCTGCTTCACGGGAGCCGGGAGGACCTCCTGGGCATCGATCAGATGACGTCATATAATAGCCCCAACCCTCCAACGGTTCCTCACTTTGTTCAGGACGAAAGCCCAAGTCCCAGCACCGCCTGGGACCCCCCTGCCTCTCCCCTCCCCCTCCCCCACTGTCCCCGCTCTCCCCTCCCCCCGCACACGGGCTCCTGAGGCCCCAAACCCGCAGACACAGCCTCGGGGCTTTTGCGCTGGTCTTCCCTGCACCTGAGCTCTGACCCGAGGTCCCTCTGAACCCCCCCCCCCCCCCCCCCCGTGCTCTTTCACGAAGGCCGCCTTCTCACCGAGTCTTTCCCGAACATCTTACCTCAAACAGCAAGCCCAGTCCCCCCCCCCCCCCAGTCCCTTCCCGGCATCACCGCCCCCCAGCACGTAACCCTTCCGGATGCCTCGTACTGCGCCCACGTCTCATTTGTGATCGGTCTCCCTCCCACGAGGTTGCCAGCCTTGTCTTGTGTCCACAGCTGTGCCCGGCACAGTGGACGCTCAGGTAAGTGTTGAATGAATGAATGAATGAATGAATGAATGGGTGCAACTCAGCCTGCGGAAGGCTCAGCCCGGGAAAGCGCAGGGGAGGGCTGGATGGGCGGTGTTAACCTTGAATGCCCTCGCGGTGGGGGGAGGGGGGACACAGGGGATGCTGCCCGCGCCAGGAACAAGGGCAGAACAAGGGCAGTGTCTCTGAGGGTGCCGTGCTCGCCCTGTGCAGGGGGTGGGGGGGGCAGGCCCAGGCAGCCGCAGGTGCAGGGACAGCCAGCACACCTGCAGCAACCAGGAGGGCATCCTGGGGAGGTCACCTCTCCCATTCCTCCCCGCCCCAGCCTGGGCTCCCTGAGCCTGTGGCCAGCTGCTGCCCAGAGCCCACCTCCTGGCCCTGTAGCTGCCACCATCCAATCAGGAGCAACTGCATCCTCCCAGCAGCCAATCCCGGAGGAGCGGGTGTCCTAGTGGGACGCTGCCCATGGCTGGCACCTTGGGAGAGCCAGGCGGGGTGGGGGTGGGGGGAGAGTGGAGGGAGGTGAGGAAGGGGAAGCTTCATAAGCCATTTGAGAGCGCACCAGGCCCGGGAGGGACAGCGGGCTTGGGGCCCAGAGTCTGGGCACGTGTCTCCTGTGTGTGGCCTTGAGCAAACAGCCGGTTTGCGCAGGGAGACACCGAGCAGGGGTGCTCACCGGGCCGGCCCACACTTGCTCACGGGGAAGAGCAGACAGACAGGAAACGCTGAGCCCGAGGAAAGCCGCGGGTAAATCTCGGCGCTCAGCTCTTACCGGGTGAGCTGACGGTGATGACGGGGGGCCACACGGCCAGGAGGCGTCTTTCTGTTCCCCACGACCACTGGCAACACCACCACATCCACAGAGTTGAAACACCACAACGCAACAGGCCCCATCTTCTCCATCCTATCACCATGCTACACTGCGCCTCATTGGCTTGTACTTCCTCCCTCCCTCCCTCCCTCCCTCCCTCCCTCCCTCCCTTCCTTCCCCTCCCTCCCTTCTTTCCCCCTCCCTCCCTCTCTCCCTCCCTGTTCCAGCAACACTTGCACAAGATGGAAGGAATTTGGCGCATCCAGGAGACGGGAGAAAAAGAACACGCAGCTTAAACCAAGAAACTGCCAAGACCCGAGCTGTGCGACCCTGGCGGAGACACAGAGTGACAGAAGACACTTCTGACGGGCCTGGCTGGGCCGCCTGGGGGCAGGAGCAACCTCATGGCGCCAGCATCCAGGGGGCCGTGAGCAGCGACTTGGCAAGAAGCACTCAGGGCTATGGCCCTCACCTTCCTGCACCGGGGCTGACACAGGCCAGTCCCAGGGTCCCGGCCCCCCCCTACACCCCCCACTCACGTACACCTGCAGCAGGGGGCCCTGCCTGGCCCTTCGCCATCTCACAGAGGAGGAGACTGACACCGGGGAGCCTGAGAGCATTGCCCCAGGTCACCCCCAACAATGCCTGTTAGAACTCGAACCCAGGACCAGATCCGGGCCCTGGCTGGGCCTCACCACCCTCCTGACAGCTGCATGGGTCTCGTCGGTCACTCAGAGGGTGGGGCTGGGGTGGCTCCGGCAGGGTCTCCATTCAGAAGCAGTGATCTCTTGGCACTCAGCGTGCTGACTCCTTCCCCCTCGGACCCGGTCCGCTCAGCAGGGCCCCCCCTCCCGGGTTTCACGTGCCGGAACCACGGTGCCGAGAGCGTGGCCTTTCCCGCCACGTGGGGGAGTGGCTCCTGCCACGCTCGGGAGCTGTCGCTGCCCGTGATGAGGGCGGCCCTGCGTGCTAAGCCCCGATGGCTCCCCGAGTGCTCAGCCTACAGCGCCCCCCTGCGGGAGCGTCAGCCATCTTCCCTCGGGAAAACTGATAGATCTTCCCTTCCTCCAGCTGATGGACAGACTTAAACCCCACCACCTGCGGCCAGACATTCCTGAGCACGGCAATCAGCACCTGCCAAATACCCCACATGTGTCAAACACAAGGCCCGCGGGCCAAATCCGTCCCGCCAGGCCTTGCAATGTGGCCCGCACCGCGCTGTCATCTCTGCACTCCGCTGCGTTTCCATCACAATAACAGTTTATGACTGTTCAGTAAACCATTCGGCCCGCGATTTAGGCTGGATTTTAGATTTTGGCCCCTTCTCTGATTGAGTTCGACACCCCTAAATACCCTAAGCCCCATTCCTAAGTCCCTCGGTCCCTAACCACCAATCAGCGTGTGCTGAGGGCCCTAAGTCCCGTCCCCTAGCCTCCCCTTAAAAGTACATGGACCCCCGGCCCTCGCTCTCTTCCGCTCTCTCTCTGGAAGCAGCCGGCAGGGGTGCTCTGCTCTTCAATAAAGCCTGTGTCCTGGCATCCCGGTCTCGGCTCCTCTCTATTTCATCTTTTAAAAACCACACCCGGGTCCTCAGACTGGCAACGCGTCTGCATTCCCTTCGCGGCCTCCGCTCGTTGCTCGCAGAGGGCTGCTTGTCTTCCCCCGAAAAAGGCTCATCCCGTGGACGTGACCGTCACACGCAGGTGGGACTGGATGTCACGAAGGGCGCCTGTGGCTGCCCCCAAAGGCTGGATCGTTCCGGAAGGTCTCAGGCCCCAGCAGGCTTGTCCCTCGGCAGCTGAGCTCGGAAGCTGGAGAGCGGTGTAGGAGTTATCTGTTGCCAGGGGCCAAGGGTGAGCAGCCTAAAACCAGCCTTCCTCACCGGTTCTGGAGGGGCGGGAGTCGGGATGGGTGGGAGGTGGTTCTGGCTCGGGGTCTATCCCAGTTTGAGTTTGAGTGTGGCTGCCGGCGGCTGGGGCTGCAGTCTGATTCGAAGGCTGGCCTGGGGCCAGGGGCTCCTCTCTTACACGGCTCCCTCGGGTGGCTGTGGGCAGCGAGGCCTGAGGCCTGGGCCTCTCACACCAGGTGCCTGGAACCTCCCCAGGGTAAAGACATAAGAAGCTGCGAGTCTTTTGTGGAGAAGTTTGTCCTCTGGTTGCAAAGACCAACCCTCCTCTGATGAGGGAGGGTGTGAGGACCGGCTACCTGGGAGGGCACCATCGTGACGCCATGAGGGATGGCCCCACCCAGCTAGTCCCTCCCTCCTCCTGGCCAGGGCTTGGTCTCTCGCTCACAGATGTATCCCAGGCCCCAGGGGGCCAGCCACACTGCAGGTGCTCAGTGGACGTGACCCAGGGGAGGCGGAGAGCACAGGGTCCTGCTGGCCAGGTGTGACGGACAGACAGACGGACATCGCTGGCCTTCCTGGCGGCCTCGGGGCTGGGACTCCAGCTCCTGCCTCTCGAGCCCTCGGCGGGGGC